CCGTGAGGTCCCACAGGAGCTGGTCCCCTGTAGCCCTCTGCCTGCATCACCGGAGTCCTCTCCCTTGCTCACTCCATTTCAGCTTCACTGGCCTCCTTGCTGGACCTCAGCCCTGCCTTAGGGCCTTTGCACTTGCTGTTGCCTCTGCTTAGCATGCTCGTCTCCTAGGTGTCAGCCTCCTTCACTCAGATGTCACCTTCTCAAAGGGCCTGCCTGGCTGTTCTCCCTAGATTACAGCTCCCCACTCCTGTCTCCTCTGACTTCCGTCTCCTTGACACTTATCACTGTCGAACTCACCATGCACACTACTTGTTCATCTTATTGATTATCTGTCTTCCCCAAAGAAGATAAGTCTCAGGAGGCGAGGGGGTTTTGTCTGCTCTGTTTCCTGCACCTAAAATGTTTTCTAGCACAGGGTAGGCACCTTAACTAACTAACTAAATAAATATTTGTTGAGTAAGAGGAAGTGAAGACAGTATAGACAACTTTTCAAGGATTTTTATAATAAAGGAGAATCGGAAAATAGGGTGGTAGTGGGAGGAGGATGTGTGGTCAAAGATGTTGTGTGTCTATAAGTATTAAGAGAGCAGATATTAGAGCTCATTTTTATGCTCATCCAGTGGAGAGGGGAGTTGATGCAGGAGAGAGAGGAGATAATTTAGCATCAGAGGCCTTGAGAATGTGAGAGGGAGGGGATCCAGAGCAAAGACAGGTGTTCCGTGCAGAGGGGGGCACACCGGGATGCGGGGACGTTGACTGATGTGGTGGGAGGTATGGATGTTCCCTTTTGGTTGCTTCTCTCAGTGAAATAAGAATCGGGGTTATCAGCTGAATAGAAAGAGAGTATGGGGGGGTTGAGTAGGAAGTAGTCTGCAGTAGTTCTGTTTGGGAGAGTGGGGATCTGATAATTAGGAAGATGTGGCAGGAATGCCATGAAGCAGTCTACAGAAGGAGGTGATGCAGTGATAGACCATGGCGTCTAAGCTGGGTAAAGAGGAAAGCAGGGACGGGGTGCGGTGGGGTTGGGCAGAACGGGTAGCAGGAGAGGCAGGCTAGAGTCAGGAGTTTGCAGGATGGTGGCAAAGTGGCAGGGTTGGAAGGCTCACAGACCAGAGAGTGGAGCTGGAGAACCAGAGGCATGAGCGGGAAAGGTGGTTGGAGAGTGTGGGGCTTGAAATGGCCATCTGGAGGAAGGCGCAGTCACTGGTCACGGCAGGGTGCAGCTGTGCCCTAGGAAGACGGGAGCCCAGGTGCTGGGGAGGCAGCCGTTGGTCCCTTTCTCTTTTCTGTATGTGTTTGTAGCTTACTGTTATCATTTTCTACATTTCAAAAATGTATCCATGATGGCACATGCATGCCTATAGACATGCAGATGCTTAGGTTGTACCATATGAAAGTGCTGGTATTCGACCATTTTTTAATCCGCAAAAATGTCAGTTTCCCGTGGTTCAAACTAATATTTTCCCAGTTTTTACTACTTTAAACAGAGCTTCAGTGAACGGCTTGTACGCGTGTCCGTGTCCCACGTGAGAGTGTCTTCTAGGACCTGTACCTGGGTGTGGGATCAGGGCCACACGGTACTCACAGCTTGAGCAGGATGGGTGGGTGAGCTCCACTCCCAGCAGCAGCAGCAGCAGCAGCGGGGTTCCTCCATCCTCAGCAGCGTTTGTTGTCCAGCTGCTCAGTTGCTGCCAGTCTGATGGGTGTGGCGTTATTTAGCGCGTAGGTGACTGCGGTAACCTTCTGCCTGTCTGGCGTGAAGCCAGTGGTCTCTGAATGCTGGTGCCGTCACTAATAGGCTAGAGATCCCATAAATGATGTTTTTGCTAATGATTGATTGAGAGGAATAAATTGTTAAGTGAAATACGTTATGAGCCAAAAGGTACAACGTGTTGCCTTAATCTTGACAGTAGATGTGCAGTGCTCATGTTCGGTAGTAGGATTATGGGATTATGTTGGTGGGTAGGGTTTGCTGATTCGTACTTTTTAGCTTTTCTCTAATAAACATTTAGTGCTTTGTAATTAGAAAATCCTAATCAATTATTTTCATTATTTAAAATGAGATGTAAAAGATTCCCTCAGGGGCATGAGGCAATTTTAGCTTAATGTACCAAGCCACCTGTCAAATCGATGATCAACTGAAAATTTTTTTTAAAGTTGTGGTTTATTTCCTTGTGTAATCATTTTCCATCTAGTTTTTTTTAAAGATTTTATTTTTTACCTTTTTCTCCCCAAAGCCCCCCAGTACATAGTTGTATATTCTTCGTTGTGGGTCCTTCTAGTTGCGGCATGTGGGACGCTGCCTCAGTGTGGTTTGATGAGCAGTGCCATGTCCCCACCCAGGATTCAAACCAAGGAAACAGTGGGCCGCCTGCAGCAGAGCGCACGAACTTAACCACTGGGCCACGGGGCCAGCCCCTCAACTGAAAATTTTTTAAAGAAGCAAACTATTAAGGGAGAGAAAAAAAAGTCTCAGGGCATGCCTTCAGATTTTAGGAGTTCCTCATGAAAACTATGCACAATAAGGGAACCTGCTGATGGATGAGTTCACGGGTAACACTGATTGAGGTCCCGTGGAGGCGAAGGTGCTGGCAGGCTTTTTGTTGTATTTGTGTGGGTGTGTGGGTGGTGGTGGTTCTCTGCTCTCACCCTCAAGCACCTTGTCTGAAAACTAGTGCTTCCTGAAGCTGCTTGATACCATGGAACAGTAGTTTTTGACCTTGGCTGCATATTAAAATCATTGGGGGAGCTTTTAAAAAATATTGATGCTTGAATACTAGCTGCAGAGATTCTGATTTTGCTCATCTGGGGTGGGCCAGGCATTGTCTCGATACTTAGAAAAAAAAAGGTAACACCAGCTGAATTTCCTTTGCAGTCAGAATTGAGAACCATTGCTCTAGGATAAGGGTTGGCAAACATTTTCTGGAAAGGGTCAGATGGTAAATGTTTTATGCTTTGCAGGCCGTGTGCCTCAGCTGCAAATATTCAATTTTGACTGCCACTTTAGCATGACAGCAGCCACAGAGAGTAAGCAAACCAATGTGCATGGCTGTGTTCCAATAAGACTTTATTTACAAAAAATGTGGTGGGCTGGATTTGGCCCAAGGCTGTGGTTATCTGACACCTACTATAGAAGATACAAAAATATTACATAGTTTCCTATTTTATTTTGATCATGGTAAAACCTGAAGAGAAGAAAGCTGTGGTTTTGTATGATGTAATGAAAAGAATGTAGGATTTGAAGTTAGAAGCCTAGGGTTAAAAGCCTGACTCTAGATTGGCTGTGTAATCTTAGGGAAGTCACTTAACCTCTCTGATCCTTATTTTATGCTTCTGAGAATGGGGACTTCTTCATGGGGTGGTTTTAAGCATCAAATGGAATAAGTTACATGAAAGTGCTTTATAAACTGAAAATGCTAAGCACATATTGCTTGTTCTCACAAATTGCTTGCTCCTCAGCTTCTTGTAGATTCATGTGTAATAAACATTAAATATTTAAAAGTAAAGCAAATTAGAAAATTTGAATTTAAACGCAATATAAACATGAACACTGAGAAAAATGAGTTATACATAATGCATTTCTATTTTGCTAAGCCAACAGAGTGACTTTAGATTGGTAAAAGCTGCTTTTAAAAGAAGATGGTATAAATATACATTTTTCTGAAATAGAGTTTTCTAGGGGAAAATTGGTTTTCATCAGGGTTGTGGGATTTACAACTGTCGTGTGCCGGTGGGGAAGCCGAGGAGGGCGGCCGTGTGGCGAGCTGCAGTGGGAGCTTAGAGCGGAGGCTTGAAGAGCAGCCTGTGCAGGGCAGCGCATCCGTGACCTTCAAGGAGGCGTCGCACGGGGCGGGACCAGAAGCCAGGCTGCAGGCGGTCAGCAGGGAGTGGGCGGAGAGGAAACGGAGGCATTAGGCGGAGACGGCTCTTTCTACAAGTTTGGCAGAAAAGAGGAAAAATAGGGTGTAGCTCAAAAGGGCATCAGGGTCGCGTAGACGTTATCTCAAAGGAGGGCGGTGCCCGTGTGGAGGCGGAGGGCCCAGACCAGCAGGTGGGAAGGGGCGGGGCGGGGCGGGGCGCTGGAGAGGGAGCAGCCTGAGGGCAGGTGAGGGGAAAGAGTTGACAGTGGATGTGGAGCCGCGTCCAGGGTCGGGGAACTGGAGGGATCCCGTGGCAGTGGTGGCCAGGCTACGTTAAGAGGCCGTGGGGAGGAGAGACTTGCAAAGAAGGTGTGGTGGATACCAGCAGCTTGATGGGGGCTGAGCGGTCTCAGCGCTCTGCCCTCTCTCCCCTTCTCTCTCTCCCTGACTTCCCTCTGCACCGTCGAGTAGATGGGGATCTCCTGTGCATATCCCCCACTGAACTGTAAGCTCCTTGAGCGCAGGACTTGTATTGAATTCCAGTCAGTGTCTGCTGTAACCCTCGGCATAGGGCTTGCATGTGGCGTGTGTTTGCTGAATGTCTGGTGAATGAATGCGTGAAGAAAGAGATGAAGGAAGGCTGCTGTGAATACAGGACAGCAGACTCAGTTGGCCTTGCCTAGGAGGTTTGGTTAGAGCCAGCTTCCCTGCCTGAGTAAAGAGGAAAGGGAGAGAGCCTAGATTCCTAATAAATTAAAAACTACTTCCTCCTGGGAGCCCACCCTGATCACCTGCTTTCCCTCCAGATCTGGGTTTCTTAGATACTCATCCTGTGTGCTCCTGTAGCTGTCTGCACTCCTCCTCGTGGAGTTTATCACCCTGTGGTGGAATGGTCTGTTTACTTGACTGTCTTGTCTCTAGCCCCGCTGGACTGGTGAGCTTCAGTTGAAGGTCGGGCTTATCTCTTTCTTGTCTCTGTGTTTGCGTCACAGCACAAAACCTGGCACACACGGCGCGTGAGACATTCTCTAAGTCTCTGTGCAGTTGATAGAGATGAGCTGGTTGGGGATCCGAAACCTCGAGAACTGGTTCTAAGTTTTGTCTCTGGGTCTCTTTCTCTTTTAAACGCTGCTGCTGTAGGAGGAAATTCGGTACCTTCTGAAGGACTTCAGCCCTCTCCATGTCCACAAAATCCAGAACGGCTGCAGATGGTAATGACTGTTCTTCCTGTGTTTTCTTTGGGAAGCAGCTCCTTTCCTCCTGGTCCCTGTTGCTGATGCACTGATGTTGCAGGCCAGTCAGCACCTCCCAAATCCACACCCACCACGACTTGGCAGAGTGACACTGGAAAACCCCCTTTCCATATCTACCCTCTCACCTGGCAGCTGATGCTGTCTTGTCAGGACAACCTCTGGTTAGAAGTTCAGAGACCCGGGTTTATTTTCGGTAACATCCTTGCTCTGTTTTCTGACTTGAGGCAAGTTACTGCACCTCCCTCAGCCTTGGTTGCCCCTCAAAACTGGACCTACTCACACTTTCCTGTGTTTTCAAGGCAGTAAAATTGCTTTGAGCTTTTGAGGGGAATAGTAAGAAAGAACCCCAAAGCTGCAGCTGTGTGGTGGAGAGGGCTAGAGTCAATGCACGTCTTCTGAGCCCCAGACGCCCAGGACAGTCTCTCCCCCCACCCAGCCTGGCCCAAGTCGGGACCTCAGTGTGGCTTGTTTGTGTCCTTGGACCAGCTCCCCTTCTGGGCCTCTGGGAGGATGGAGGAGACTGTTGCTCCCGCTCCGGCTAGCTGCCCTCCCGCATTCTGTTCTCTGTGATGTGCTCAGAGCTGCCCTCTCTCCTTCCTTTGCAGCTTCGCGTTTGTGGATCTGGGCTCTGTGCAGAAAGTGGCACTCGCGATCCAGGAGCTGAATGGGAAACTCTTCCACCAACGAAAACTGTACGTGAATTCAAACAAAAGCTCTCCCAAGAGGACCTCTGACGTGTCCGAGCGGCCGCAGGAGCTGCCGGTATGTCTTCTGGTCTCTCTGTGCTCCGGGTTGCTTTGTGTCCACTCTTCAGAGCTTGGCAGACCGTACTGTCCATCCTTCCATCCTCCTTCAGTCTCATCTTATTGTGGAGAAGGCAGGGGCTCGGATGAAATTAGGGAAACTTATGACCCTTGACAGTCAGAAGCCACGTCTGGTGCAGAAGACTTGGAATTTTTAAATAAAGAGAAGACTATTCTTGGCAGGGTCGAAAGGGTTATCAGGCAGTTCAGCCAGGGCTTTTCAACCTGGGATACTGAAATGGAATCTTTTGCTTTGTCAGTGTAGCAAGGATTAACTGAGTATCTATTGTTTGCACAGCCTTGTTCTGGCTGCTGGTGTGAGGTGTAAGACAAAAGAAAATAAAATCTGGTCCTTCTTGGCAGGAAGACAAATATTGCCAAAATATGAGGTATGGGAAGGGGGGAGTTAATGGTGCAGGTTGTGCATGTGGGGAGCTGTCTTTGTGGACAGAGAAGGGGAGGCCTCACCCAGGAGCTTCCCTCAGGTGAGGTGAGCCCATTCTCAGTAGGTGGAGGTGAACCAGGAGCAAAGGATCCCACTTCAGAGACTGTCATGGCCGCGTATACGAGGAAACCCAAACAATGGTGACTTAAATAAGTTAGCCGTTCCTTCGTGTTTTCCATGGAAGAGGTCAGGGATCCGTGGTTGGTATGGGAACGCCATGATGTTGTCAGGGTTCCAGGCAGGAAGAAGGGGACTGAGGCAGAGAGTAAGGGGCTGTGTCCTCATAAAAGGCACATTCTCAGAAGCCCTGGCCTCAATCCCGCTTATGTTTGTTGTAGAAAACTTCAATTCATGGTCTTAAATGCAAAGGAGGTTGGAAAATGTAGCTTTTAAAATAGGCACAGGGCGGGTCCCGTGGCTGAGTGGTTAAGTTCGTGCGCTCCACTTCCGTGGCCCAGAGTTCACCAGTTCACATCCTGGGCGTGGACCTAGCACTGCTCATCAGGCCATGCTGAGGCAGCGTCCCACATGGAAGAGCTAGGATGACCTACAACTGGGATATACAACTATGTACTGGGGCTTTGGGGAGAAAAGAAAAAAAGGAAAATTGGCAACAGATGTTAGCTCAGGGCCAATCTTCCTCACCAAAAAAAGCACACGCACAAAAAATAAATAAAATAGGCACATTGTTGCTAAACTTAGAGTTCTGTCAGCAAGAAAAGAAAGAATGCATATTGGCAGGCAGTTAACAAGGTCAGCCACAGCTAGGGAAGTTGGAGATGGGGGTTGAGAGGCAGACTGGAATCACCACAATAAGATTGTCAGAGGTGGCCCCCTTTGCTAGTTCCAAACTATTTTTTTCTTCCTCTCTTTTTAAGCTGGTCTAGCTCTTTGGAAGGACAGGCTGTCAGGTTACACTACTTACTGACCTTTTTGGTTGCAGTCATCCACCCTTCTCTCCATCATGGCCCCTTATTCACTGATAACTTCAGCTTCTGGCTCCCTATCTGTCTCTCCTGTGATCACTCAAATTCAGTGTCCATGTGGATGTTCTGTCTGAGAGTCCAGCCCCTTATTTCCTAGACCACTGTATCTTTAATGATCTGTTTTTCTACTCAGTCACAGTTTCTCATTCTCGTAGCTACATGTCAGACTTCATTGTTGCTCTTAACTGAACATCCCCAAAATATCCATTTCAAGCACTGGACTCTGCCCTTCTCCCCTTCTTTGCAGCTCTCTTCCTCTAGAAGAGTGGGTCTCAAACTTAAACAGCATCAGAATAAACTGAAGCGCTTGTTGCACAGCTTGCTGAGCCCCACCCACAGAGATGCTGATTGCGCGTCTAGGGCCGGGCCTGAGAACTTGCCCAAGTGCCAGGTGGTGCTGGTGCTACCGGTCCTGGGACCACATTTTGAGTAGCAAGGCCCTCAGTCCAACAATTCGACACATTGGGACCCTAAATCCACTGCCCCCACCCTTTCTTCACTGTTTGAACCTCTCTTTACTCCCTCATTTCTCTTGTTAGATTTGATTCCCTAGTTATAACTACCTTAGTTTAAACGCCCTTAACTCACTAGGTCATATCTTGAAAAACCCCACTCCCGGTGGAACCCAGCCCTCTGCCTGTTCTGAAGCTGCATGCCGAGCCTCTGAAGACTTTCACACCACCCTGCTCACTGGTCTCAGTTTATGTGTAGTCACAGCTTTCCCACTCTTCCAAACTGCCCTGTCTTGAAGTTCTTTAATCTTTTCTTCTATGTCCAATCTGCAATTAAGCCTATTTAATGAATTTTTCATTTTAGATAGTATATTTTCCAGTTTCCGTTTGGTTCTTTTTTCCCCCATTTCTTTGCTGAACTCTGTCATCTTTTCACCCATTGTGTCTACCTTTTCTTCTAGATTCTTTAATGTATTTACAATAGTTATAAAATCATTTTCTGCTAATTCCAGCATCTGGGTCAATTGTGGCTTTGCTTCTGTTGACATGTACCTCCTCGATTACGGGTCAAGGCTTCTTTACAAATAGAGTGATTTTTAATTGTATGTTGGATACTGTGGATGTTATATTGTAGAGACTTTGTAGTATGTTTTCTAAATAGTGTTAAATTTTTTTTCTAGCAAAAATGCAATTACTAGCTGATCTTTTGATCTTATTAAAATGGGTTTTCTTTGTTGGGATTGGTGTACTTCAGTTGGAGTCTTAGTTCTTGGGTGAAATCCTCTTCCTAAGGCTTGGCCTTGTATGGTCTCAGGTGCGGGTCGGGGTGCTTACCAAGCTCTCTCCACGCTGGCTGGGTTGGAACTCCGTTGTCTCCCCAGTGCTCTAAGACCTCTGATATCTGTGCTCTTCTCTCAGCTCCCTCTCCCCCACCCCCTACATCTGCTCTTCTCTCCAAGGCCTCCTAGAACTTGTCCTGCATGTGGGCAGCTTAGGATTCAGCCAAGGACCTGAGGTGAGCCCCTAGATTTCTGGGACTTTTCTGTGGCTCCTTCGACCCTGGTGGCCTGACCCATAAGTTCCTGATATCCAAATGTTTACCTGCATTTCTCCTGCCCCGAGAGACTGCCCGACGGCTCGGGCTCTGCTTCCCTTTGCTGTGGTTTGGAAAATGCCCCCCAGCAGAAGGCCAGAGCGAATGTGGTGCTCACCTCACATGCCTTCCTTTTCTCAAATTGCCCTCTGCTGTCCGCTATCATGAGGCCGTGCCAGCAATGGTTAGTTCGTATATCCTGCCTGGTTTTAGAATTGTTTGGGGTGGGAGAGTAAGTTTAGTCATGTCAGAACCAGATACTAGGAAAGAGTGTTATGGGGCTCACCTTGCTTCCTTTGGGATGCATGTAGTTTTCGAGGAACATTTACATCAGAAATAAGTAACCAAAAGATAAACATGAATTTCCATCCATTTGGAAATTTGAAAAAACATTCCTAAGTAAACCACACATGGGTCAAAGAAGAAATCATTGCAGAAATTTAAAAATACTTAGAACTTAATGATAAGGAAAATACTTCCCTGGAAAGTTGTGGACTATAGTGAAAGCAGTACGTGCCAGGAAATGTACAGTACTGAATGCTTAAGTGAGCAAAGGAGACGGCTTGAAAATTAATGAGCTAAGAGTTGATTGAAGAAGTAGATGAAAAGTAAAAATAAACTCAAATAGAGAGCAGACAATTTTTTTTAATTAATTTATTTTTTCCTTTTTCTCCCCAAAGCCCCCTGGTACATAGTTGTGTGTTCTTAGTTGTGGGTCCTTCTAGTTGTGGCATGTGGGATGCCGCCTCAGCATGGCTCGATGAGCAGTGCCATGTCTGAGCCCAGGATTTGAATCAATGAAACACTGAGCCACCTGCAGTGGAGCACGCAAACTTAACCACTTGGCCACGGGGCTGGCCCCAGAGAGCAGGCAATTTGATGTTTTTAAAAATTTTAGCTGAGGGCTAATTTTCCTCAAAAAGACAAAGCAAAACAAAACAAATTTTATAAACAAAGCTACAGTTAGATGTCAGTTATATCTCAATAAAGCTGTGGGAGGGGAAGCATAAAAAATAATGCTACAATAGAAGGGATCAATAAAGCCAAAATTTCATTCTTTAAAGAGGTTAATGAAGTAGAAAAACCTTTGGCGTGATTAATGAAGAGAAAGGGAGAAAAGGGCATAAATAATATTAGTGATGAAAAAGAGATCGGTAGAGATTAAAATATAAGAAGATAATATGGTAATAAATTTGAACACTTAGAAGAAATGGACACATTTCCTAAAGTGCATCACTTTTAAAACTAGTAGAAGAACCCTGATGGTCCTATAACTGTGAAGTAGTTGAATCGTAGTTTATAATCTCACAAAGAAAATACCAGGCTCAGGTGTTTTGTCGGCAAATTTTACCAGGTTTTCAAGCAACAGAGACTCCAGTATTATATAAGTTCTTCCAAAGAATAAAGTAAGAGAGATGCTCCCTGCCTCATGCTATGAGGCCGGTGTAACCTGGATGTCAAACCAGACAGGAGAGCATAAGAAAGAAAAATTGCAGGCTGCTTCCACTCACGAAGACATATGCAACGTTTCTAAACAAGATATTGGCAAAATGAAGTCAATGTTGGCTGATGAAGGTAGTGTCCTTCAATAAGGACAAGTTGGTTTTTTTCCCGAAAGATGCAAAAGTAGTTTAATATTAGAAAAACGATAAATCTTTCACTACATTACCAGATTAAACGATGAAAACTGTATGATTGTCTTAAATAGACACAGCAAAAGCATTTGATTAAATTCACTAATTTATGATTTAAAAAAATTCTTGACAGCCAGAAATAGGTTATTTTTAGTTTGATAAAGGCTATGTACCAAAGCTCTACAGAAAATAATGTTTGAATGGAGAAACATTATAAGCCTTCTCTTTGGAAGCAGGACCGAGGTAAGTTGCCCACCATCACCACTTCTGCTCAGCATGGACTGGGGGTCTAGTTTTGTCTAGTAAGACGAGAAAAATAAGTTAAAGGCATGAATTTTGAAACAGGTGA